GATACCCATCAGCCCAAATGGGCCCTGCCATAGCCCAGCAGCCCTACCCCGGATCCTACACCATCATACAGCCGTCTGTGGTGGTGGTGGGAGGCTGCCCCGCCTGCAGGTGAGAACACACACTATGTATGGGTGGCAGATATAGACCTACAAAATATGACACTTTAGGGTATTTTCATGATAATTACAGTCTTGGTGATATAATATAATACTGAAAAGTTGTATTGTTCTATAGCTCAGCAGAGTTTGCTTTCAAATATAAAATAACAATGAAACAAAAATGAAAAAATGATCTCTTAGGATATTTTATTTGTAAACAACAACAGTAACTCAGAGTGAGATCTATATTCTCTATAAAACATAGGCCTAAATAGAACATACAAATAAAATCAACACTAATCTAAAAGGCACGTCTAAACAGTTTTGAAGTACAAACAAATATACAAAATAATCTTTGTATCTTCAAATGTCAATATATAGGTAATAATATGAAGTCATTACGGCAGCTAGAATAATGCCATTTTCACAATATTTTAAAGAAAAATCCTATTAAATACTCCACACGTATATTATCGTGAACGCTATATGTCACCACCCTAACACACATGCATATTATTAGCTTGTATAATACAGTATATGACTGACAGTGATGAGCACATGGTTAAACATGCGCTCTCTGTGACTAAGTGGGATCTGAGCGCAGTTCATTCAGAGTATAAAGTTCTAACTTCCTGTGCCTAATTATTGTTCTATCTGCATGTGTACCTTCATTGTCTCTGTGCGTATGGCGTCAAGCCTACAGTTTGACCTAATGTTAAGCAGAAGTAACTTTCAGTTTTGAAAGATAGATTCACTGTGCCTGAGTCAACATCCTGTCAGTCAGATGACAACGGCGTCAGTCAGATGACAACGGCCTCAAACATGTGACAGAGGGGGGGGGGGGGAGGGCGGTTTATAAAAACATCCATTGGTGGAGTCGTAAAATAATGGGATAGAAATGCTCTGTTACAAGTAAAAGTCCTGCATTCAAAATGTAAGTATTACCATCAAAACATATTTAAAGTACCAAAATAAATGTGTACTCACTTTGCAGAATGACTCATTCCCGAATATTTTTTTTAATATTATTTTATTAAAAGTATTGATCAGTTCATCACTTTAATGGTTCAGCTGGTAAAGGAATAACTTATACTTATAAAAATACTGCTAGGTAGCTGTTGAATTGAACCAGTGCATTAATAAAGTTGTGTCTACATCTTTTATAGTAATTGATAAATAATTTGTTGATTATGCTTTTTATTATTAAATGTTAATCTTCAACGTGAGTAATTAAAAAAAAAAATAATTGTGGAGTAAAAAGTAGAATGTGTGTCACTGGATTTTTGTAGTGGAGTAGTATATAGCAGAAGAAAAAAAACATCTATACACGACTTTACCAATGTTTAATAATGTGTTAAGTTGTGTAACTTCATTCCAACACAGTTACGGTAATAAACACAGCTCCCTGACACTTTGTTACTTATAAAATACACAACATGTATAACAGACAGAAGTGGCCGGTACAGTTTAAGTCTTCATTTTGCATCATGGCCATGATTCCTCGGTCAGTGACAGTTCCTGATACCAGTGAACAAACAAAGTGTGTAAACAACATGGCACAGCACACCAAACACTGTCAGCTGCTTGCCGTATTATTAGAAGCTAACATGATTTAAGGAAGGTCAATCAAAGGTCCTCACTTCTGCAGGATCTAATTTTGTTAGTGCAATCAAGGCGGATATATTAAGATTATTTATATTTTATATATATATATATAGCATTAGCAGTAAGAGCTTTTCATTTCCCACCTCTTTAAGGTCTAGCTTCATACACAGCATTTGTTCATTCTCTCTGGGGCCTCCAGCAGATTTACTGGTGGACGTAGTGCAGTCATGGGACTCTGTGTTCACCGTGACTCTGCATTAAAGCTTCAAAACAAGCTGCTTCATGTCCTGACAAACATGAGGCAGCTGTTTTCTTATGTCACAGGGCAAAATCCTTCCCTAGATGGTCCTTTATTTTCTCTTCTTTATTTCTTCGAAGCACCAAAAGCCAAAGTTCTTTAAACGTATTCAGCTGATACAGTTTTATGGTGAAAGATGTGAAATTGTCGAAGCAGAGTGGGGGTTTCTGGAAAAACATCCCCTACGTCCAACGTTGTAATCACTTTTGAAACAGACATGATTACATTTTCCTAACAGCAGTTCACTGAATAATTATCTCTCGATTGTAAAGGCTGCTTCCCTGCTCCATGCGTGTTGGAAGTAGGAGAATTTTTGCCAGAACCCTTCTCTCTGCTTTGACAATTTCTAATCTTTCCAATATGGCCAATATTAATACTTTTATAATAATAAAGGGAACATTATTTAAAGTTGCGTGTTTATTCAGTGTAACTAATAGATGAACAACTTAATAATCTAATAACTGTGAATGAGTAGCTACTGACAGCCTCCAGCCATGGACAGATTATGAGACCAGCTCCTGTAGAAAGACATCTAAAAGGTCCTCCATGCCCCTACAGAGGAGAAACAAACCTAGACTAAGAGAGACACAAAATGTCAAAAAACAACATTTCTAAAGCTTTTTTTTATTTGGTTGTTAGATTTTTTTTTTTGTATTGTGTGTCATTTTGTGGTTTTATGTCTCTTTAACCGTTGTTGTATATTCTCAGTGTTTTTTTTTTCCTTTACTGTCCTTTTCTACTTTTTCGTTTTTGGTTGTTTTATATCTCTTCGTGGATGTTTTTTTATATAGTTTCGGTTGTTTCTGTGTATTTGCGTTTGTTTCTATGTCATTTATTTTCTGTCTTTCTATTGAGATACTTTACCGGTCACTTCATATAGAAATTGAGATCCAGGTGCCTTCAGCTTCTCAGTTATCAAACCCAAGAATATTTATCTCCCATTTAAAATCCTGCATCTGTGCTTCTTTTTGATCTTCGCTCCTTACCAACACCTCCTGCTGTGTGTGTGTGCTTGTGTTGCAGAGTGGGGGTCCTGGAGGATGACTTCACCTGCCTGGGGATCCTGTGTGCCATCTTCTTCTTCCCCCTGGGTCTCCTCTTCTGCTTTGCACTGCGCCAGAGAAGGTGTCCCAACTGTGGCGCCACCTTTGGTTAGAGGGACCAAACCACGGCCCTTGCACCTGCTCCTGCTCCCACGCATACACACACACAAACACACACACACACACACACACACATAATCCAGCATTTCCTTGTCTTTACTTTGTTTTTCTTTCTTAATATTGCACATTTGCTGTTGCCATTATGTTATGTACAATGAAATGATCAAGATGATATTACCATGATGTTTTATTACAGGCACTTGTACAAATCTATGTTCATCTAGTTGAGGATGTGTTCTAGCAGATGTTAGTGTCCAGCTGTTGTCAGTGCCTTCACTACATGCCGAGTGATCATCAGAGATTCCATCAGTCGTGATTTCTCCTGTAGATTTGGCTCAGTTGTCCAAGGACCTGAGCAGATTCCTTTTATGTTTTTCAAGCCAGAATTAACTGAGAAACATGAGTTTTCTTTTTCCTTTTGTATTCGCTGGCACAATGCATACATATTTGTGTGCTTAGTTACATTGTACTCAACAAAGCATCCATGTAGATCACCGATGTATCAGCTTTTTCCAGAAATGTAAACCTTTTTTTGAGATGTTTGTTTTTGGCTTAGGGGAATAACATGGGTTTTTGAGAGAAGAAAGCATACATGTAAAGATCCTTGGACGTGAACTGTCCCGGCTGAAACAATGGACTTGTCTCAGACATTTTGTCTCTTTTTGTTGATGTCATTTCTTGGGGCCATATTTGCACGGAAGGTTTGTTTGATGATTATTCTGCTGGGTTGTGCTTTTCCAGGGCCAATGCAGACCTCAGGTACATACAATCTGAAACGCCCTCGACTTTACAACCTCAATCACTGTTTGACTTCGGACTTCTGCCTACTTTAAGAAGACTCTTTTGTCAAAGCGCAGACTTCTCCTTTAATATCCAGAGGTTCACTTCAAGGATGCATGCTGGGAGAAAAGCTGAAGACATCTCTCAATAATGTGTATAATCTCTGGATTTCGATCTTAGTACTCTGTGACAAGTCACCTTGCCCCCCCCCCCCCCCCGCCGCCCCCCAACCAGACAATCTATGGAGAATGTCTTCGTCCCTGTATCTGAAGTGTATCCGTGTCTATGTCTTCCATCACAGCGAGTTGTTATATAGCTGTCCATGGCAGTAGAAAAAGAGATAGAACTAGGTGGTGGGAGTGGTTTAAAAAATCGTCTTGCTTTAGAAAACACACTACACACGCTCTTATGATTGAGGTTCTTACTTTTTATATTTGAGTTACTGTAATTAAAAATGAATGCGACATACGTGTTTGTCTTGCTTGATTTTATTTTATTTTTTTAACCTTGAATGAACATAAAAGGGGCCCTATTGTGCTTTGTTGGGTTTTCCCTTTACTGTAGTGTGGAATATTGGTTTTTGTGCATGTAAATGGTCTGCAAAGGCTAAAATCCCAAAGATCCTTCTAGAGGGAGTTTCTGCCTGAGACCTCTCAATTATACCTTTAACCTTCCGTAAGTGACATCCTGCAAAACTCACGCTTCTATTGGCTATCGCTCCAACACATTGTACACGATTGGCTAAGGGGCGGGACATCTGTAAGCGGTTGACAAATCATAACAGAGCCAGCCAGCTAACCAATCAGCACATGGCTCTCAGACAGAGGGAGAAAAGAGGTGCTGCAGCACAGGCAATATGGAAAAAATAAAGCTTTTTGAACATTAAAGCATGGAGACATGTCACAGTAGAGACACTAAATATAAATATGAACCTGAAAATTAGCACAATATGGCCCGTTTGACAGACAGTCAAATATGCTTTTACCTTTCATATAAACAAGAGATGCACAATAACAATTATACACCTTGGTCATGATAAAAAACTAAACAGCAAGTTGAAGAAATACACCTTTATTTCATACAGCAAATTCTATTAAGGTTGCAATGTGGGTCAAACAAGTGTACACACTGTTCTTTAAATGATGTGTGTAATGATGAAAGCAGGAATGATTGTCCACAATGTTAGGATTACAACAGGTAAATTATATTTTTACAGTAGTTATGTTTGTGTCATTAAGGCAAAAGTCCTGTCTCCACATTTTTCTAGCTCCACAAAAAAATTAAGTTAGATGGCAAAGGACAATATGTATAGCATCTGTTCACAACAAATGTATATACAAAGATCACTAGTGTGCCTTTTTTTGGATGCATCTCTGTAAAGGTCTCTTCTAGGATGCAACATTTCCATGAGGACCTGACGGTGAAATGCAGAGGTCCTACAGTACATTCTTCTACTGTCCTATGGCAACAGAAAATATTTTTCTAACAGTCATTTGGACGATGAAAAAGCCACATCAACAGCATAAATATTAAAATAAATATTTTCTTTGAGCATTTTTATTTATCCATTTCTCAAGTGCAGGTACGAATGTGGTCTTTTAAACATCACCACCACAAAACAGAGGGACAAAAATAGACATAGAAAATATAGATATATATCTTAAATATATGAGCATTCGTTCTGTTAAATTAAAACAGTCCCAAATGACTTCCATGTGAGAGTTTTGCAGCAGTGAGGGGATCACAGATTCAAATGGCATTTTCTTTTTTTCTCAGTGCTGGCCAAGTTCTGTCTCAGTTCAGACTGAGGAGAAGCCTCTGGACAGTGGAGGCAGGGCGGAGCTGTATGGAGGACACAGGAAGTTGGACAGGATGTTGTGAGGATGGAGGGTGAGTGGAAATGAGGCCCGGTCAGATGGACGGTGCGGAGCGGTCGTTGGTGACGGTTGGACGTAGCCGGACTGTGGCGAATGGGTTCCCTCCCCTGTGGAAACGCAGCATGAGATGAGTGATGAGTGCGTGTCTGAGTGAGAGGGAGGCAGATTATGGCGTTCATGTTTTAATTTGTGACTCACGCGAGGTAAGCAGGCTGACCAGGTCTCGAGGTGCCATTAGCCTGCGATGCCTGTCAAAGAAACACAGTCTCATTATTACTTTTTCCACTGTATAAAACATGTATAACGCTGACACTTTAGCACGAGGAATACTATCCAGGAATACTAATCCACTTTCCCCCTTTTTTGAGTTCATTATAACCCAACACACACATTCTGGTTTGCTGAAGGACATACTGGATGAATGGATAAGTGTGGGAAAGGCAACATGCAGTGTCATATCACGAGGCAGTGTTTGGAATCTGGATCTTCTGGAAATTCAAGTCTGTTCCACAATCAACCACATTTAGTTTCCTCATGATGAGCCAAAGGTGATGCCACAGAGACGCGTTGTGTAGGGCAGGGTTTACCTCTGAAGAAGAGGATTGTTGTTCAAGATGGTAGAAACTTTTAAATTAGGTAATTATTGAGATCATCCTATATACAGACTTTTTGGGTCCTAGTACACCTCAGATACAGTGAAAGAAGAAAAGTAAATGGGTCCTGGGGAAAAGGAGGAGACAATCTACCACAGCCTAAATGAATACATATTAAGGAAACTTATACAAACATATGATCGAGTGTGGAGTTTTACTTTATATCTGCAGCTAGAAAAAAAAAAGTCTTCCTGTATCTTCATGTGAAACTGATCAGGAATGTAAACACAGGCTGTGCACTACATTCATCCTTATATACGTTCTAGTACAATACATTTAGTGTCTTAACTGAATTTAGGTTTTCTGTCAGAACAATCCCATAATGGAATAAAAAAATCTGAATGATGCCAAAAAGTCAGAAATCTAAAAATGATTCACAAAGTATAACGGTGTATACAATATAGATAGTAGTGAATTAATAAATGATGGAGAGATTTCAGACACAGCTCCTTTTAGGTGAGCTGTATATTGTTGGTCTTCCTGGCAGCCTGTCACCCGGTCATCAACCTGCAGTACTGCACAGAAACCACAAGAGGGCAGAAGTGGATCGGAAGACTGATGTCTCTGTCAGTCTCTCTCTCTGTCACCACTGTTATTCCCTCTATGGTTATTCCCTAAAGGAAATAGTTTCACATCTGTCCTCCTTTTACAGATGTTTGGATTACAAATCACATAGCAACAATACTTTCTATGTTTGTTGACCCTGACTGCATTTTGATGTGACTGAGTTCTTGTTTTGTTTGTCCTGCACAGACAGTCTTTTCTATAACCTGGTCACAATCAAAATGTTCTGCATATCTCCCAAACTTACAATCTGGTACAATAAATGTTCCCTTCCTGCTGTGCAACCCGTTTTTTATAGTCATTCAGCTAATAGACATACATGGAGGTCATTTTAGTTTAAAAAGTACAGCACAGTGAACCTTATTCTAAAGTTCAACGATCTGAGTCTATGCGTCTGGAATATACACCGGTTCAGACAGCATCTGAGTTCAGTGAGAGAACTAAGAATATCTTCACTCTGTAAGACTTCTTTTCGTTCCTCTGCATGGAGATGATCGCTGTCTCTGCTCCTCCAACATCCCCTTCAGATCTCAATCCCTCACATCTCTGCGTTTGTTCCCATCCTCTAAATATATCAATTCCTGCGAGTCATTATCTATTCTTCAACGGAAAGCACCGAACCAGTGAGGGTGCATTATTCTCCTGGTGACAGTGCATTCCAGGGTAACCCCACCTCCCACAGCCCTCCTGTCTCCTCACCCTCTCCTCACCCTCTCCTCCCATCACCTCCCATCACCTCCCTCCCTCCCTCCTCTCACCTTTCCTTCTTTGGACCAACCTGCAACATTGAATAAAAGGCTTTGCTGCAACATACAACAATTAGTTTCTTGTCATGTACATGTTTGATAACAGCACTGGGAGAATCAGATTTTGGCTTAAAGTTCAGCTCTATTTATAGCACGCGCAGAATTATTACCAAACTAACAAATAGAAAACAAACATGCAGTATAATAGGAACAATAGACTGACTTTCTGCCAGTTTCAGTGCAGAAACACATTAACCCTTATGTCGGCCCTTATTTATACAGCTTATCACCGAAAAGCACTGAAACTCTGACAATAATGTTCATGAATGTTATAGCCAGTCCTTAACTAACCCGACACACTGCACAAACACGTGCACACACAACACACAGACGCAGCCACCCACTCACACACTGAGCTGAACATAAGTCAGTATAACAGTCTAACTGTAGCAGTGGAGACCTTCATCTATTCTTAGATCTGTGTTTGACATGAAGCATAGTTGTGTGAAGTTCCTAAGAATGAAGGGCAGATAAACTTCACTGGAAGCGAGCGCAATTTACCCAGGAAAAAAATATTAGTTACAAGATTGCATTGAAGATGAGAGACAAGGGTGCAGAGGTGGATATAAATAGACAAACAGAGACTTGAGAAACTGAAAGAGCGGGATGAAGGGGGAGCTGGGTGTCGGGTTTTCACACACACACACACACACACACACACACACACACACACACACACCACACACACACACACCACACCACACACACACACACACACACACACACACACACACACACACACACACACACACACACACACACACCACACACACACACACACACACACACACACACACACACACACACACACACACACACACACACACACACACACCACACACACACACACACACACACACACACACACACCAACACACACACACACACACACACAACACACACACACACACACACACACACACACACACACACACACACACACACACACACACACACACACACACACACAGTATTTCTGCCTGTGTCATGTTGTGTAAAGCAGTGTGTGTGTGTGTGTGTATGTTTGTCTGACTCTGACGAGCCACATCATATTTACATGTAGGCAGCAGGGAGGAACTACAAAAGCTTTCACAGTGGGAAAACCACAACTTTGGTTGACGCTTTGCATATTTTGCAAACGAGAGAACATTTGTAGAGTTATGAATATAGCCAAGTTGGAATGAGAGGTGGCTGACATAATAATATTATATAATATGGTAAGTGAACATTCTGTCTTACCATTGTGTGACATATTCAAAACCATCTGATACTGAGATAAAGAGAGCTTCATCAATATGAGAGACTACAATTCTGCTCTCCCCTCTGTCCCCATGTCCCTGCCTCGTGATGGCTTATTATCAGCACACCAGGATTATTGTGACAAAGGAAACAAACGTGCTCTACTCAGGCTCTTTATCCATCCCTTACAACCATGTACGGGTGAATCTTGGATAGCAATTAAACAAATAAAAGATATATTTCCTGGATTAAAGCCTGGAGTATCTTTTACACCACATTTCTAACACTTGTTTTCTTTGTTTCTCTGTCTTTCTTATTCTACAGTTGGTCTTTCTGGCAATCTAAGTAGAGTTAAAATACATCCTTCTTGTTTCTATAACTACATGTCCTGTTCAGGGTCATGGGGGGGGGCTGGAAAGGACCCATAATGCCCTGGGAGAGAGGCTGGCATGTTATCACCCGGATACAGCAGCTTGCCTTCACGAGGCCAACACACAGACAAGCATGTTTGTTTTACACCTACAGACACTTTAACGTTTTTAAACAACCTGATTTAAGGTCATACAAGTAAGCCGTTAAGTTAAGGCGCTTTTTGAAGTTTCTAGCAATATAAACCTCACATATAATAAAGGTAAACAAACTGCTTTCTTTATATACAATACAGGAGCTATTCTCCACAATAAGGCACCATCTTTGCCTCATATTGAGCTAGGAAAATCCCTACTTTAGTTAGCTTTTCAAACATGAAATATATTCATAATACATGTGTGATTAGTTTGTACAAGCAGAGACTAATAATACCCAGAATAACCACTTGTTCATGACATATCTAAACCACAGAAGTCAGAACTGCCCCTGAGTCCTAATAACATATGTTTTATTGTGTGTCAGAGTGTGGTCAGGTTTCCAAGCAGAGATACAGTACAAAGCTTATCTAACCACACACACACACACACACACACACACACACACACACACACACACACACACACACACACACACACACACACACACACACACACACACACACACACACACACACACACACACACACACACACACACACACACACACACACACACACACACACACACACACACACACACACACACACACACACACACACACACACACACACACACACACACACACACACACACACACACACACACACACACACACACACACACACACACACACACACACACACACACACACACACACACACACACACACACACACACACACACACACACACACACACACACACACACACACACACACACACACACACACACACACACACACACACACACACACACACACACACACACACACACACACACACACACACACACACACACACACACACACACACACACACACACACACACAGTTCTCCATCAGGACATTACAGAGCGGTCTGGCTGACAGTAGGTCAGTTTTTTGGGCTTATTAAATATCTAAGAATAATCATTTTTAAAAGGTAGAGCCCAACCTAACTAACCTAACTTTGGGACAATATGTTGGCACTTAACTTCTTTTCAATATTTAAATTTAGTTTGCACATTCTGATATGAACATATTAATATTCCTTTTATTTCATTTTATTTGTCTTATATGTTATTTCATTCTAAATTGGAACAAGTGTCACAAAACCACATTTCCCCTGGGATAAATAATTGTTTCTGATTTAGACCTAATGAAATGTGAGATAAATGCAACGCGTACTGACCGTGTGATCGGACGAGGAGGTGGAGGAGGCTGCGGAGGGCGTGGGGGAGTGCTGGTGGTTGTTGTTGTTTGTGGCGAGGGGGCTGATGTTGTTCTTGGTGGCGTTTCGCTGCGCGGTGTCGCTGTAGTCCGCCGGGGGGAGCACCATGGTCGCATCGTCCGTCTCCGAGTCCTGATGGTGGAGGTTGACCACGCTTCTGCTGCGGAACGGGGCAGCAGACACACTGGAGGAAGACCATAAGAGACCACGGTTATATGAAGGAGAAGAAGGGATGAAAGAAAGAGTGGAAGGAGAGGAAGAAGAACGGGAATAGATACAACAATGATCTCAGTATTATGGAGTCAAATGTAACTGTGCCTGTGGGTATGTATTATTATTATTATTATGCACAATTATTTGTATTTTTTTGTTTGGCCTTATGATGGCTAAAATTGGGTGACCATTTTAGTTTTCACTTCATATAGCATTGAAAATTGCATGAAATGATGAGCTGTTTAGTTTAATATATGTTTATGTATGTTTTGTGTGTGTGAGGAACCTAAGAAGAATAGCCAATGCTCATGCTAGTGCTAATGGGGATCCTAATAAAGAATAAGAAGAATAAGATTAAGAAAGGGTAGAATAAGACTATTCAATTAAATAATATGCATGAGTCTCCTGGCATGTATGCGTCCTCCTTTTTCTAGTTTCAGAATAAGTTGATTTTAGGCTTATACACATGATGTTAAACGAAGGGCACAGACTTAACCAACAGTAGGGGGTCCTTATTAAGGAGAAAAGGACAGGATGTTTATGTGCTGTTTGTCCCACAGCTCTGGTTACGGTTTAAACGTTCTGTAGCAGTGTGCTGGCAGCCTCTCTGTGGGAGGTGCAGCACATTCAGATCTAATAAATGTATCCAACAGGGATTAGTCTCTTTGAAGAAAAAGGATGGAGTCGTCTCCATGAAACCCTCTCTCTGTCGTCAGCAGCAAAATGTATTCATCAGCACAAAACATCCTGTTTCCTGAGATTCTGCTGAGCTTGTGTCCATTTTTAGATTCATTGCAAATACATAGATGTCATGGTCATACATAAGTTCTTAAAAAAAACATTATTTTCCTCCACAATGAAGGATGAATCTAAATATTGAGAAAGTTTGGATGAATTGCAGCTTAATAACAAAAATACTTATCTCCAAACTCATACACAACTCATGCAGTATAATATAAGTCTCATTTAACCAGTTGTATGCTCATTTCTTTCCAAACACAGACGTTTTTGCTTAAACCTCACTATTTTAAACACTTTCACACTCTGTTTGTGCTATTAGTGTTAAATAGTGAGGTTTTAAGCATATCTTTGGGAAGAATTGAGCATACAAATGGATAAATGAGACTTAGATAATACTGCAAGAGTTGTCTGAGTGTTTCTAAACTGATGTTTTTATATACTTTTTCTGTTTTTTAACGCTTCCCCATTTAATGTATTTTATTAGGACTTTTTTCCGCTCTTCATTCAGCGCAGAGGCATGCCAGAAAAACATTGTTTTCTTTAAGAACTCATTGTAAAACGGAGTAACTAATCCATATACAAATGGTTATTATAAATTAAGTTTTCCTATAATGATTTTAAACAGAAAGGTTTCATAAAGCTAAATGTGACTGTGAGAATGTGACTTTAGCACAACAGGAGTCAAAGGTCGAGGAGCGGAAGAGTCCCCCGTAGGATTAAAAGGTTATCACTAACAGGAGTAACCAGAGGAAGCACTGCCAACAATACAGCCGCCTGCAACATGACACCTGTGGGTTTGAGTGTGTGTGTGTGTGTGTGTGTGTGTGTGTGTGTGTGTGTGTGTGTGTGTGTGTGTGTGTGTGTGTGTGCGTGTGTGTGTGTGTGAGCTGGAACATGGGGTCTCCTTACCTGTTGTTATTCACGAGAGGCTCGGAGAGTGCACGGCAGTAAGATGAAGGGAACCAGCCCCTCCTGCAAGACACAAAGAGAGAGGCATGATGACATCAGAGCTCCAACCTCCTGCAGGCTGCTCAGGAACCTGAACGCCTCTCCAGATGATTAGCAACCGCTAACCAGACGATGCAGTGACATATATGATCTTTTTTTCCCACATTGTGTATGGTTTAGGTTCTTTAGAGCTATTGTAGTCTCTCTTGTGTTGTTTTTACTGTGTGGATGTAGGTAACTATGGCAGCAAAAAGCAAGAATTCATCACAGAAAAAACATCCTTTTGAAAAGAAGCCTCCGATTTGTAAACAGATCATCAAAGGGAACCATTTCAAATGCCTTTATCCTTTTTTGATGGATTTCTAACCGCAAATCTCCCCTGTTGGCTTGGGACTGTTGATATGTCGTCTTTTATAAGAAGCAAAGGAAATCAATGCCTTGAATAAATAAAGGTCTTGAGTGAAGGTCTTATCTCAAGGCTGCTGTGCTGACACACGATTAGTGTTTGTTTAGAGCTTGAATTCATCTTTGCGCTGGTTTAATAAATGAGGCAAAGTCACCTCAGAGACCTGTGAGGTTTTTGGAGGCCTCAGTATGAGAGACAGCAGAAAGTTGTCCGTGTTTCTCAACATCCAAATAACTTCATTATGAGGAGTTACAAACCATATAGGGAACAATGTGAAGATAGTCCAAATATTTAATTAAATGAAAATGCTCCAACAATTTCGCACCTTGATGAAAAAATAGTTTCTTTCTGCTTGAAAACATGTTTAAAGGAATTTACCTGAGAGAATGAAAGGGTTTATAAAGAATGAGTCACAATCTTTCTCTATCCCGAGCTCATACCAAGGACTGTGTGTCATTGTGCTGTTTTGGTACAAGATTGTTCGTTATCAGTGAGTAGCGGGTCAGACTCTCCCTCTGCGTGGATAAATGTTAATATTTGCACATCTTGTCTTGAGGGTGGGCGTTTTTTCTTTGTGTTTCTTCGATAAAAAACTCCTTCTGGTAAATACACCTCACCCAATCTCACTTATATTTTATTTATTTAGGGAAGTGTTTTCCACTGCGAACGGGTTCACTGTAACTGTGGCATTTATAAAAACCTTGCTCAAGGACAACTGACCCATATCAGGGTGTTTCTGAGTTTCCTGGAAAGGAAGGCTAAACTCTTACAAACCTGTTTAAACGGGATCAGATGCATGTAGGGAAAGTGAGCATGATGAACTATGCAGGGTAGAAGAGAAACCTGCTTCAATCACACGCAAAACTAAATGTTCCAAGATAGGTTGTTGTGTACTTTTTAAACACACATTCAAAATAATAATTAAAATGAATCTACACTGAGACAAATGTATCCGTCCATTGTTCACACTGAATCTGCCATCGTTGTTCAGACACACATTAGCACATGGCTTATTGTTATGTCGAGTTACGGCTGTTGGACCGAGTGCTCCTGAGGGTGAGAAACATTAAGAGGCAGAGCCGCCTGATGACAGGTAATAAATCTTTGCTGCTGAAGCGAGAGTGTGTGTTTGTGGAGCGAGCTTCCCCTGTCAAAGCAGAGCAAGACTTTCATTAATTTACTTTAGGCTGAAGAAAGTGTATCTAGTAAGCAGGAGATAATATCTCATCATTTGGTTTTGGCCTCCCATTGCCCTCCCTTATTTTCATCTTGCCCCTCATTTCTTCATGAGAAAAGGGGTTACACATGTACATAATCCTTTTGCTAAATAATTAGAAATAAAACATACATCTTACAGCTGTTAGTTAATATTTTAAGGACTTTTCACCTTTATAGCCCGGTTTAAAACATTAGTCAAACAAATATAATCAAAAGAAAAAAAAGTCTAATATGTTACATTACTTTGATGATGATATTAAAATAGTAACAGTACTTATTAACAGTACTATGTAACGGTTACATAGTACTGTTAATAAGTACTGTTACTATTTTAGGTTACATTGTAACCTATCATATAACAAAGAGGGATAATGTGCATACTGTAGAAACAGTGCTGAGGTGTGTTATTTTATTACTGGTGATCTCTCCGCTCACTGTGCTCCCTCATCCATCCACAGTGTGTGTGGGTGTCTTAATCGATGTAGGTGTTGCCAGGCGAGTTGCTGGGAAACACTCTCCAAGCTGTTATAAGATAAATGGAGAAACCCGGACGCAATCAAAGGCAAACCTCCAACAGGACGAGCAGCCCCCCCCCCCCCCCCCCCCCCTCTTCAGACGCTCTGATCTGATAAACATGATGATATAAACTTTTTAAGCCTTCAGGTGGTGAAGCAGCAAGAACAAAGTTAGCTGTGCGACAGATTGGCTTCTTAAAGCAACTCAGACTTCTTCCTTTCTGCCCTTGATCAGTTTTTAAATATCATTTGCCAGGTAATTCTCCCTTGCTAGTGATAAAAGATCAAACCTGATGAATGATTTGAATTCAGAAACCCACTTCTGAGATCACAGATCAAATCCCTGTTTAAGAAGTCAGACATCAGAGCCCTGGGTGGGGGGGTGGGGGGGGGCTCGGTGGGTGCCTGTCTGCGCGGGAGTGCAGGTGCCTCGCTCTCCTACATCCCACCCTCAGGCCATACTTTACTTTGATTTCCTTATCAGTGAGTGTTCCAGCTCTGGTAGTGAGCCTCGAGCGCGAGTATGTGCGCATGGAGAGCATATGAATCAGACCGGGGACCATCGGCCAGTCAGGACCGAGGAGACCAGCTCACGTCAATCAGCTGACCGGTATGAGGACCGAGGAACATGACTAGCATATTCAAAATGATAAGAGGATAAAGGACATGAGAGGTATATGTGAATATGGTGAATTCACACTTAAGAAGGAACCATTTCTTGTCAATATTCCCGGAAATATGAGCTTGATAGGGCTGCCCCTCTTAGTTTACTAATTGGTCATTTTGGTCATTTACCGACTAGTTATTGTTAATGCTTTTCCATGCTAAATGACACATTTGTAAGCAAGTAATAAGCACTTCACAGTGAAACAAACGATTGAAAAAAATGTCTATGAGTTTTTTGTGAAGAATCATATCAACTTATCAATAAGAGAACAAACTTGTGCGAGTGTTAGTAGACTTAGAATTTCTTTAGTAGAAGAACAGCCTTATTTAGGTGTATGTAAGTGGTACACCTACATGCAGTGTATCACGTATGTAATCATGTCCCTTTGCACAGCATGTGCCCCTTCCCTTTTCATATTTGTGTAATCACAGTCTTTAGTACCATATATCTGTTTTTAGACAAATGCAACACGTGCGGTTTGACTCACTTCCCGCTCTTCTCCAGCTCTCCGTACATCCAGCCGTCCCTCTCGTCGGGGATGAGCAGGGCGATGACGTCCCCCTCGTCGAAGCTGAGCAGGGTTTTGTTGTTGCCGGCGGTGTGGGGGAAGATGGTGCGCACACGAGGCCTCTTCACCATGTTGTTGAGGCCGGTGGCGACGGACATGGACCTGGCAAGATTGTTTTCCTCGCTACTCCCGTGATCTGGGGGGCGGGGGGGGGGGGGGGGGGGGGGGGGGGGGGAGGAAGAAAGGGGAGGATGGAGAGCAACAGTGAGAATACAATAACAGACTAAACTAACAGTCTGTGCTAGAGCAAGATGCACATATGCTTTCAAATTGCTGCATATATTCAATACAAAATATGCTTTGAGTTAGTCCCATTGACATCAACAATGAAATAAGCCAATATCAATCAACACAAATGACTGATGAGGCTGAGGGGCACGTCATTAGTTTAGCAGGTATGTGGTCATAAATCAAAGTACTGAGAAAAAGGTGAAATTTGACCTGATGATGCCCAGCCCTGCAGACCCAAGTGTTTACAATTCATCCTCTGGGGGCTATGAGTATCTGTACCATAGCTGAATGGCAATATTTGTCAAGAAAAATCAATTTAAGACAACAAAACGTCCTCATGGTGGCACCAAAGTATAAATAAGAAAAGACCACCATCTTCAGAATGTATACTCTTGAATATTTGTAGCACATTTAATGCCAAGTGATTGTTGAGATGTTTTAGTCTGGACCAAATAGGTGGACTGACACACACGCATGACTGCATTGCCAACTCTAAAGCATGGCTAAAACCAAAATCACACACGTTTTTGATACAACCATATCATCCAAGAACAGATTTCTGTAGTGATGAAAGGGCAGCGAAATGGCAAAGACAAAAGTGAAACCCAAAGATAAAGGCTATCAGGAAAGAACAGACACCTCGTGCAGTCTGCTCTTGAAAACACAATCTAACAACCACAAAAGCACAAAGGGAGGTGTAAAATGAACACCCTCGCCTGACATATTACTGTACCTATGCTGTTGTTGAGGCTGCTGGGGACACTGGGCGCGTTGTCCTCCTGAGTGAACATGTTGGCCAGAGGACTGGTCTGAGCCTTCAGAGGAGGAGCCGGCGGAGTAGACATGTTCTGCCACAACAACAACAAAGATAACGTTAGCATGTTACATTTATACAGTGCGAAGAAAAGGAAAGAGAACCCTACATTCCTGCATAATTCACGCATAAAATGTTGTGTGATCTTCCTCAAAGCCACTAGAATCGAAAAATACACTGTGATCTTATACGTCTCAAATAAATGTTTTCCCAACTGATGTCAAATCAACTGAGATTCTATGAAAACCATTTTGAAAAAACAAGTTGTTTAAAATTCCTCCTGTAGAGGAAACATTCAGTTAAGGTCACTGCTGTGAAGTTATCAAAAATAAGGGTTTCCTTTCATTGCCTCTGAAGCACATCATTCAACAAACTAACCAGAACAGGTACATGTTGTTACTTTTTCAAGCAGATGCAGCTCGTCTATTATTCTGAACTTTGAAGAATGTCAAACCACAATTTAGGAGAAACAAAAATACTGCTTTTGTTTTCTAGTTTACATAATATTTCTCTAAACAATCTGGTAAAACTGACAAATCCAACCCTGCACGATCTAAGCATCGACTCATTTTAAATTACTATTGAATTTTGACATTTGAAACATAATGGGTTACATTCATTTGCATATTTCACTGTTTTATGCTTAATTAATAAAGCAAATATTACAAATAATAAATCAAATATTCAATTTCAGCAAGTTATTTATATCAACTCTTTATCTTAAAGTGGACCTATCATGCTATATTTGAATAATATAGTGTAGGACCATACCTATATAAGGCATATTTATACTTTTTTTTTTTCAAAATACCAAACAGATCATGCATTTTAGCCATGCCTCATTTCGCTCAATTTGACAATTTCTAGCTCTGTTTTTGCAACGGCTGATTATGTGAGAACAGCACCATCTACTGGCCTGGCATATGCACTACAGCGTCTCCAGCGCTTTCGAACGGCAATGGCCGTGGCTGTCTCCTCCTGATTGGTGGAGTTGGCCCAATAGCCGTAGCGCCACCGCCCTGACGTCAGGACAGTGTTCAAATCTGGATCAGTTTTTATCAGATCCGTTGCAGCCCCTTTTTTAGAGATTTGGGTATGGAGGAAAATAGAGAGGGTTGTGTTTTCTGACACTTGGTGAGTTCCCTGGAACACCGGGGACACATATTCATGTATAAAAGACGTACAAAAGTGCATTTTGCATGATAGGTCCCCTTTAAAGAACAACATTCTCTTTTGAAAAGTCCATCTTGAGATATTTTGTTCCCCCCATAAACCGGTCTCTTCTGTCCCGTCCTCTCTCCCATCTTACCACACTGTGCCGTGACGGGGAGGGGGAGGGCATGGGCGTGATGGAGACGGGGGTGCGCAGCCCCTCGATCATGGTGAGGACCCGGTCCGGCATGTCGGAGGAGTCGCTGCACTGGTCCTGCCAGCTGTTCAGCTTCGCCGTCAGCATCTCTCTGGCCTGGGAAGCGGGCACAAGGAAATATATTAAAAGAAGACATGAGTAATTGCAGCACATTTGCACACATTTTCATTGCTATGGAAACATAAGGCATGGCAAGGCAAGTATATTTTAGATTTAGGAATAAATGTGTTAACGTGATGTTTTGGTTAGATTGTAAACTGTTGAATGTTTTCTCTGTACAGATGGGGTCCAAAACTAGCAAGCCACATGAATGTTTGGGAGCAAATTCATTTTAGATGCTACACAAATATGGCCAGGATCCGTAGAATTTTCGGAATACTGGGTTGCAGACTAGAATTTTCCAAAGGGGGGTTCGTTTAGCATGAAACACTTGAAATAACGAAGACAGTGAGGTCAAAGAAAACTATTTCTGCTAAAAAGTTAGCAATGATTGAGAGTCAGACCTAAACATGTCAGATGTGTGTCTCACACTGCACTGTAACTTTTATTCAAGTACCTTTGGTATTCATGTTTTATTATCTTTGCTTTTAAATGAGTGTTTTTAAATGCCATTTTATAATATGTTTCTTAATGCTCTTAATGTCTTTCATTTTTGTAAAGCACTTTGAATTGCCTTGTGTTGAAAGGTGCTATATAAATAAACTTGCCTTGCCTCTGTAAGGTACAATGTGATATACTTAAAGTTACTATTTGGGAGATATATTTGACCTCATCAATTCAACCCCACATTAAGTCTAACATAAATATAGCTTAACTCCACTGTGACATAATGAGAGGAGGAGTACCTTCTCATGGAAGGAGGCGTACTGGTAGGAGAACAGGCAGTGTTTGTCCACCAGGAAACAGAAGCGTCTCTTCTCCTCCAGCAGAGCCTCCTTACAGCCGTCTGCGATGAACAGCTGCATGTCCATCTGACGGCTTGTCAACGTTTCCAGGCACTGAAAACAAACAAACCACAAATACAAGTCAAGTTCAATGGATCCAAATCAATTGGTTTGTCTTTTGTTGTGTCTTATCTCCGACGACAGAGCTGTAAGTCCTCTCACTGCTGATGTGTACACACAGCCAACAAGTGACATGAGCAGCCGCGAGTGACATGAGCAGGGCTCCTTTCTGATGTCCTAATCTCTCTCCTGCAGGGGGAGGTGTGATTGGACAGGAGTTTACTGTATTGATAGATTAGGCTGCGCCTGGTGTTCAGTGAAAGGAAGGAGAGGAAAAGGGGACAGCATATATCTTACACTGGTGTGTGTCCCTTTTTTGTATTCTTCTTCTTTATTATAAGCTTTGATTTGATATTTGTATTTTGTGATTAAAGAATCAAAACAATAAAGCTTCATACACACTGATTTCAAGTAACATTACTTAAAGGTGGGGTATGTCATTTATTTCAGAAACACTTTTTGTTATATTCCATGGAATGCTCTTAACATCCCGATAGCAATGAATATATTAAATGCTTTGACAATAAATACATAAACAAATTTAATCTGTAGCGCTGTAAAAAGCACGACCAATCATTTTAGCCGGCCAAAATGACCTACCCCACCTTTAAGTATATGTAGATATGAGTGAACTGATCTCAGAAGAGTGGTTTCAAGAAGAAAAGCAACCATTATGTATTACTGTACGATTATTATTAAGGGCCTTTTGTGAGTGTTTGCTTAATTTACTAGCATAAAGCTATTGAGTGGATTTGAATGTTGGCCAATGCAATGCATTTATGATGATTTTCTAACCACTTGTGCACATAAAAAAAATGCATTTCTTTCCAAAATTATTCATACGTAATACAGCCAGGACCCCGGAATAAACCAGAATAATTGGATTTCTTGAAAAATCGTCTTTGTCCCTGATCTTTTTCTTAAAGCTACATGCGACATACCTATTGTCATCCTTATCCAAGTGTCTGTAGCTGGCATGCCTTTAACTGTTGTTGATTCAATGGCACACACCCTCTCTGACATGCTGAAGGCTTTTGTTTACCAGGAAGCCCTGGTTGGTAAAATGCATTTTTTTGATGTAAAACATCTACTATGTAAACCTACTGTAAGCCCAAAAGCACATTGCACATTAACATTTGGTAGCCATTTGGTATTAGCATGTTAGTAAGTTCAACCAAAAGAGCATTATTTCATGCCCTCACAAACAGTGCAGAAAAAACATCACTAGTGAAGTATTTCTATAAAAACAGCCAGAGATAATCTGTAAAAACAACATTATCTGAGTCCTCCTGTGTGTGCCTTCAGTGGCAACAGCTAAGTGACCCTGAGCAGAGGTGATATCATCGATGTGCAAACAGTGCCGTCTGTCCGCCTGACTGAATTTGATTCTGTCTCTCTAATGCCAGGAAGTCCTTACAAGAGCCCGACCATTCACAGTTGGTATTTCGCTCGAAACTTGATGCCATGATAACAGCCGCTTCTCTGTGGCTTCACGCCAACAAACAAGCAGATTCAAATTTCTGAAGCATTCGAACGCACCTACACAAAGAACAGCAGCATTTGAAATAAATATTATTTCTTGTCACCCTGCTGCTATGAAGACAATCTGTACTGCAACATAATCATCCACTGATTACGTGATCGACACGTATTGTGTGACACTGAAGGCGGATCAGGTTCATGAGAGAGAGCTGTACAGTAAACCAGAGATCTTTACTGTGCTGAGATCTTTACCTGACGTTATGTTGGTGAATTAATTGGTTGTATATATGTTTTTTGTGATAAGAACAAATGACTGCCAGGACCTGTGTTACATCTATTTATACCAATCATACATGTGCAGCAAAGGATATCTGATAATACAACAACATTTTATCATAAATGTAAAAAAACTATATTTCAATACTTTTCCTTGGAGAGATAAATTAATTGTGATTGCAACGGATCTACAGGTTATCTCAGTGAAAATATTTCAAACACCAGATTGCCAAATATCCAATTATCCAACGTATTAGTTGAGTTAATAGAGATGTTCTTCAGGGCAATCATAAATGAATTACTGCCCTCTAAATTGTCTGAAAAATGCATGCAAGTGCTTTTAATTATTTGTCTATCTAATCTTGCGTTTTGTTTTGGCGAGAAATATGAATGTTGCAATTCACGGCAATTAGGATAATTTGAATGGAATGTAATTAAGGTAGAAACAGAGAAAGAAGGGAAGAGATTGAATACCTTTCCACTACTACTGTAGAGGTGGGTGGCATAATGTGTGCTAATGAGTGGACACACACACACACACACACACACACTCATATATATCACTCTGTGAATCTGTCATCACAGCAGCAATGTTGTTGCTATGGACAACAATGTGTTACTATCAGTAAGAAAGTGTGAAGGGTGGCAACAGAGAGAGATAAGACATAAATAGAAAAACGGATTTATAAACAAAACAGCAAATCACACGTTCCCTGTTTGACACGTAAGAGCCTTGATAAACATCTCTATCTTTTGTTATTTCAAGAGTAAGCGTTTGCTTTAAAGCGTCCTCAAATCAATTGTTTGTCAGTTGTGACAGCACTCTCTCTTTTTTTTATAAATCCTGTCTGCTTTCATTCTTTTATTTTGAAATGTCTTTGGTGTCTGGTGAATCCCCTGTTGCTGTAAACTCCTGCCTCTCAGCCCTGACACCCTCTCTGTCAGTCTGTCTCTGTCTGTTGGTGTCTAAACCCTAATACCTGGCTTCAAAGGAGCCCTATTCTGCTCCTTTTCAGGTTCGTATTTGTGTTTTTTGCCTACTGTGACATGTTTACCTGCTTTAATGTTCAAAAAGCCCTTTATGTTCCTCATACAGCCTATGCTGCAGCACCTCTTTTCACCCTCTGTCTGAAACCAGAGCCATGTCTGCTCTGATTGGTTAGCTGGCCAGCTCTATTGTGATTGATCAACCACTAAGATATGTCCTGCCCCTTAGCCTATCACGTACAATGTGTTTGAGCGCTAGCCAATAGAAGCACGGGTGATACATCTTGATGTCATGCGGTTACGGAGCACACAAAGGAGTCCAATGGAGGCGTTTCAGGCGAAAACCTATATAACTCACTACAGGGGGGGGAAAACCCCCAAACGATAAATCAGATACATGAGAACAAACTCATGTCTTGTTTGGAAGTTGAGGCAGACACACAACAAGGTGAAGTAGCAATATGTTAAATGGGAAAGGCTTGTGGATCCTTAATACGACAAAGGAATGAAAAAGCTTAAAGAGAAGAATACTGGAGAAAGGAGTGAGGAAGCCTTTGATTTGTAAGGAACAAAGAGTTCACTGTATTTTCAAATTTCATGTAAAACATGTAAAATATATTTCATCTTCTGCAACCACCTCAGTTGTTTTAACACTTATTTATATGCAATGACAATATTTGCTCAAATCACCACCATTAGGTCTGCTACTCTGTAATTCTCAAGTACTCCGATTTATTTTCTTAAAAAATTATTAATCAATACATTGATGTTTTTTATGACCAAAAGCGAAATGAAGAAAAGTTTCTCTATTTACATACTATGATATATGACACTAAGAAAAGCAGCAAATCTTAACATTTATGATAGTGACAGCTGTCTGCAGTAATCCGGGAGGCTATCACTCCTGCACTTTTTCTCCTCACGGGTTATTCTTTATTCATGTGTGTCTCAGTATGTTTTATGTGTCTTATGAGGATGTCTTAACTTCCCTTGGCATCTATAAAATATCTTTCCATCTGATTTGAGCTGAAACTCAGGAACGTTTTGCATTCCTTTGATATTAATGCTTGAAAGGGACCTTGTATCTGTCGATCAGATAATTGATTTATTGACCAATCACTTCAGCTCTAGTTTATAGCATGCATGAAAAGTTACAGCTCAATCATGTAAGTCAGTCTATATACCTGGAGAAAGGGATTTTTTTTATGGGATATAATACATCAAAGTCTTTGTAGAAGGTTAAAGCTGCAATAAAACTATATTGGCGATATCATTCCTCGTGTAATTGCTTTTTGGTTGTTTCTCTCTTCCTGTGTCTCACTTTTACTGTGCAGCGCAGAGGTGGACCATGTCACACACACACACACACACACACACACACACACACACACACACACACACACACACACACACACACACACACACACACACACACACACACACACACACACACACACACACACACACACACACACACACACACACACACACACACACACACACACACACACACACACACACACACACACCACACACACACACACACACACACACACACACACACACACACACACACACACACACACACACACACACACACACACACACACACACACACACACACACACACACACACACACACACACACACACACACACACACACACACACACACACACACACACACACACACACACACACACACACACACACACACAAGCGTTAAAAAATCTTGAAACGCTTCTGCCCATTCACTTTGAATGGGGTGACGTCACTTTTTTTCGCTTTCGCCGAAATGCATTGTGGGCAGGCGAGCGGAGATTCTCAGGATTTTCAAGATCCAAAGTTGAGCAATGTTCAACTTTTGAGGCTGAGGTGGAAGCGTCAGCCAATCAAATCCCGTGTACGCAAATCTGACAGTTCAAGCTCTAGCCAATCAAACGGCGTGTATGCTGGGAGAGAAATACCGCAGGTCATTTCCTCATATTCCAAAAAATGGAGGAGAAATTAGCGGTAGCGAATCAATCACCCGGTGCTTTATGACCAGACCTACCGGGATATAAACCGGAGGAGCCAGGCATGGAGGGAGGTGGCAGAGACAGTGGTAGGTTTTCGCCTGTTTTGGGGAGTTTATATCCAGTTTACTTCGGGCTTTTTTGCTTCGTATGTCGCGGGCGGGAGATTCATGTGATTGGTTGCTCGCAAAAAATCCTCAAGCTTCAGATACGCCCACCTCCAAGATTTTTTTAACGCTGCCGTGGAGACGGCCCGTTATGCCATCTTTAGGTGACTGTAAAGACTTAAGAAGTGATTAATTGAGTAAAACACAGATTTAACAAAGACAAAATCTTAGTAACTTATTTCCAAAGCTACATATTACAAACAGATTGGGACAAAAGACATAAGTAAGACCAAACATTTCTTTTTTTAGTGCATCAATGCCTGTGTACATTTGAATACAGAGAGGGCTAGATGAAAATAGTTTGACAAACTTAAGTTCTAGACATTATCAATTTGGCCTTAGTTATTTGTTTTATCATTTTCATGCCGAATGAGTAATTTCTAAGAAACCAATGAGAATATCTTGTAGAGATATTTTAGAGAGGACTTTTAATGAAATCAACTCATTGATTTGTAGATAAGTCGAGGACAGCTGTTCTATCTTTGCAAATAATTGATACGTTTGTATACAGTGGTGTATCTCCAGCAGCACTGGTCCCATTTCAACATGCTCTCTTGTTTGAATGCTTGTTGGTGCACGTGTGTGTGTTTGTGTGTGTACTTTTATCAGAGAGAGTGCGGGTGAAGTGAGGTGGTGTGAGAGAGAATTGCATGCGGGTGTATTCGTGCAGCAGACAAAAGAAGCCAACAACAAACAGATCTTCTCCTGCATGGCTGCACAGAAGAACACTTGGCACTACTGTTACACTGCCTTGCTTCTCAGGTGTCAAGGTTTGTGAATGAGTGTGTCTGTGCAGTTATGTCTATGATCATATGAAGACGTCTGTGTGTCTGTGTGTGTGTGTGTGTGTGTGTGTGTGTGTGTGTGTGTGTGTGTGTGTGTGTGTGTGTGTGTGTGTGTGTGTGTGTGTGCCTGTCAGCTTCAGGTATGAAATGTCACGTGTCTGTCTGTGTGTCTCGTCTGTCTCACCTCGCTCTCCTTGCTCTCGTACTTGTTGGCGTTCTTTCCTTGACTCTTCCTCCTCAGCTTCTTCAGGTCTGACTGCGACCTCTCCAGAGAGTCCTGCTTCATCTTGTGCTCTATCTGGTACCTCTTAAACGTGGCCTGGCGCAGAGGAGAGACACATGTGAATTCAAAAACATGTATACCAATATACAAATGTCTAAGGATTTGGTGAGAAGGTCATCTATGTTTTTGAAAATGTACTAGACAGCAAAAACTAAACAAACAGTATATACAAATACTTTATATGGTAGTCTCATTATACAAGGATTCGAATAATTCACATGATTTATTGTTACATGAACAATAGCTCGTGTTGTTTTGGCAATGAAAACCTTAAGTCTCCTCCAATGGCGCAATAAAAGTATAAAAAAAGACATAAAACAATGAAAATAGTGCAAGAAGAAAAAGAACTAGAAATAAAATAGTGCAAGACAATCATATAAGTAACCAATGTGCAAGAAAATGCAGACATAAGTACAGTGCAGTGGAATAAAATACTGCTAGTAATAATAAATACATATGTGAGCTGTCAACAGACTGCTATAAACCTATGAAGGTGAAGAAGCTTCACAGGAGTTTAGCAGTCATGAGAGATATGGATAGAGAGCTGCTGCCAAGAACACTCAAACAGCCACACACACACACACACACACACACACACACACACACACACACACACACAGACGCACAGAGACCACTCACTGTCATGTATTTGACGTCCATGTCAGTCTTTCTCTCCAGCTCGGATATTATCTCCCTGTGGAACCTCTTAAACTTCAGGCGAGGGGGAGGAGGGAGCCAAGAGGGGAAGAAGGCAAACTGTGATTAGACACTTGATGGGAGGAAGAGGTGAGATAGTTTGTCAGTTTGAGAGCCAAGTCCGAGGTTGCGCTTATGAATGAGTCAGATACAAAGCGTGGGAAAGCCCACAGACTTTTCACTTTCTCCCTTTTCTCGTGCTCTTCTCGTTAGTGTGAGGGTGGCAAAGCACTTTTGGCAAAACTGTTTTCTATAGCTTGAGATTCTTCAGATGTCCCACAAGATCATGTGATTTGAGAGGATGTTGGAGGAAAGTTAAGTTGCAATAGAAGTTCCAAGATAAGAAGAACTCTGGTTACCTGATTAAAAGAGACTCTGAATCTTATAAGGACATAAGGACGGAAACACAAATAAAAAGCACTGAAAAGGGAGAGCTTCGTGCCGCTGCATCTGTAGTTTATTTTGTCAGTTCTTTTTTCAGCTTTTTAAAAAGCAGGAAAAGTATTTTGTTTTTTTTTTAAACCTTAAACTACAATGTGTATTTTCATATTGCTTGTATTGAACCGACTGATTTACAGCTGGTACTTTTTTACACCTGTTAACCTTCAAACTTGTAACACTTGAACATATTTTTTATAAATCTTGAAAATTTAATTTAGAAAGAATGTAGCTTGACGGTTTAGAGTTTTGAACTCAAAAGTGGACTCATGTGAGGCATGTTGTTTGTTTGTTTGTATGGGAATTCTTTATAAAAGAAGAATATAAGTTGTTTGGTAAGATGGGGTTGTTGTCAAACCATTTCTTATAGAATGTGCAGAGTAATTACTTTATTGTCAGGTAAACCATCAAGGTGATATACAATTATTTGTACCCTAATAAAGGATTTTGGCCATCATGCCCACCCGCCTTGCTGAGATGCAGCGGCGGCGCGCACATGTTCAGAATGACGTGTCGGAGACCTCATTACTGACCTCACACAGAGGGTCAGTAATGACACACTGTGTGTGTTGTGGGGGACAACACACAGTGTTGTGTGTGTTGTCCCCCACAACACAGACCCTCATCGAAGTCTGTGAACGTTTTCTTCCATTGATTCCTCTGACCTGAGTTGATGCTATGACTCAGAAACTGGAGTCCATTTACAAGTCAACCCACTCACTGATGCTGTTTGCAACAATGTCTCAAGAGGAGTGCCTCGCAACTTTTCCGCCCTAAAGTTAAGATTCAACACTTTATTTTTAATCTCTGGCGTTATTTATTCTCTCAGGCACAAAGCTTGTGCAACATTTACATTTTGTGTTTTAACTGAGGGCTTGATTAACAATGTAAAGGTTATAAATGATTGGGCTATAATGACATCATGTCTAAAAACGATGCAATCGATAAAGTAGTTGAAAATGAATTGAAGTTAATTATGAATAAGCGATCCAGCACAGCTCTGTTGTTAGCGAACCTAAATGAGTCTCCAAAACAGCTCCAGCTGCGGTTTTTCCCGGGGCATGTTCAGACCTGCCCCCTGTTCTCCATGAGGAACGAAACCAACAGGTGCTCCTACAAACCAAACCTGTTGTTTCCCTTCCTCAACCACCCTCTTTTATTGTTCATGGAGTTACTGTAGGTGGGGAGGGAGGGGAGGCAGAGTCTCCCTAAAAAGGTGGGAGGAGGAGAGAGAAAGCTCCTAGCTGACTGTGTTATAAAACTCAAGGAGGTACTGCTTTCTGTTGTCAGGGAATACACCAAGCAACAGGTTCAAAGAGTCTGACTAATGACATTTAGGTGAGGCAATAGTTAAGGAGGAATAAGATTACAATGGAATTGTTAAGGAAGCATTTTGTGTATAAGTGCATAAAAACATATCCAGCACTCACATTTTCTTCCAGCTCAAGATTAACCTTCCTGTGGACCTCTGAGATGTCCATCAGCACTACACCTGAAACACAGAGAGAACAAGAGAGGGAGAGAGAAAGACAGGTTATATTTACATGTCTGAAGAAAGCCAGGGCAGAGGTAATGCAATTGTTTGGCTTCCCTGAAAAGAATAAATGATGTTATCTAAAAGGTATTGTGCGGCACTGACAATAATGTGCAATGACAATGAGCACAATGCATACACTATACATACTACATACAGACTGTATATGAATGAATGCATCGCTGAGAAATACGCATGACAAATGCAGCCTCAAAAACCATCGACTGTACGCAGCTACAGATTATATAAATAAATACATGTGCCTGGACCAGAAAAACTGGAACACCCACCGCTCTGCAAATCAAAAAGAGCTCAGATGGCAGGCTTTCACGAATCATAACCTTCTGTGGATAAATGTTGCTCAAAAAGGCAATCAAATTAGGATTATGAAACACAAACATGTGGAAATGTGTAATTCATCTTTTTGACCTCCTTGCAGTACACATGTTCTTTGATGATTTCAAATCCTCAAAAATCCTCAAAAAAAAGGGAATTCTCTTAATTGTTTTTCATAAAAACACAAATTCAACAATAAATAAAAAACAAGGAGAAATTATTCTCACTTTCAAAGTTCATATTTGTATTTTGTGTCTCTACTGTGTTTAATGTTCAAAAAGGTCTTTATTTTTCTCATACAGCCTGTGCTGCAACACCTCTTTTCACCCTCCGTCTGAAACCACACTCTGCTCTGATTGGTCAGCTGGTCGGCTCTGTTTTAGTTGGTCAACCTCTTAGAGATGTCCCGCCACTTAGCCTATCATTGACAAGGTGTAAGAGCGCTAGTCAATAGAAGCCAGAGTGTTACATAGTGATGTAATTATGTCACAGAAGTAACAAAAGGAGTCCAATGGAGAAACTCCCTCTCGAGGGAACTTTGGGTTATATGTACATGTCTGACAGGTTTGTCGCCTTTGCAGACCATTTACACAAAACACTATTACACACTACAAGAAAAGGAAAACCACAGAAAGCATAATAGGGCCTCTTCAACACTGTTATAAGACTAGCAGTTTATTAAATGATATCAAACAAACCCATTTGCATCTCTACTTTGAGCCAGATGGCCTACTGTACATGCCGACTTATATCTGTTTTTAACATATTTTCTTTGGCCTGGATAGTGGAGCTTGCAGATTGAAAATATTTGTGTGTGTGTGTGTGTTTAACACCCTTCAGAAGTTGAACAATGTGTGGAAAAAACTATTCTGCTCACTTTTCATAGCACAGATCGACTCTATTGCGAGAAGCAATAGATGTCATTGTTTTAAACAAAGTAAAGCGGTTTTATCTCGTATGAAGCAGTGAAGAATTTGTAAGACAGTGCTTTAAACAACATGTTTAATTTACATCGCTGATCAAGATATAGTTAGAATTGTATTAAAGTGTATGTGTATCTGTCTACAGGATGATGTGTTATCTTAGATATAAAAAGCAGGATGCAAATCTTCAGAATGGAAACATAATACAGGATGTTGTGACTTTTTCCCACACTGAGCTTTTCCCCATTGGAGTTATTTTCCATGCACAGACAGTAAATATCAACACAAAAAACCTTCCTCAGTACCCAACAAGTACAGCTGCACTGCACACAGGGGTGTTGATAGTGATGTAACCTTGAGACATTTGTTTAAAAAAATCCACAGTACAGCTACATCTGCTTACACTTTAAAGCACATAACAGCTAATGCGTCTGTAAGTAATAGAAGACCTGGGAGGCATTGGCTCTGTGATTAAACAGCACTTTAATGCGAGTGGTTTCCTGTTTGTATATGCGTGTAGACCAATGTTGCAACAGATGCTAAGAGGAGCCTCCCAGAAAGGTTTTTTTTAACAAAAGAGAACAGCTATCGTTGTGCATTAATCCTCTCTGTTCTAATTCTATAAATCAACCTGTCAATATTAAAAGATATATAGTAGTTTGATTAGAGGTGGCTGCCATGACAGATGTCCAATAGGGGGCCAGTTTGATGTATCACTGTGTCCTGTACATTTATCAGCATGTAAACACTAGCCTTCCCCGCTCTGTCTCTCCACACCTTCACTGCCCCACCTTGCCTCACAGCGAGACTGCCTCCTTCACTCAGCGCAGTTCAAACAGCTCAGCAGATCACCCCCTTAAATCTGCCCTTTGACAGAGCAGGAGTAAAAAGACTGAGGGTGGAGCAGTGACTGGGATAGGAAGGGAGGAAGGGAGAGAAAGCTCGTTTTAGAGCTGTACAATGAGGCAGGATAAGTATACAGTTAGTATTAAAGATTGCTACAAGGGAAAAATATGGCAAGAAAGAGTCAATACTTATGACATTCAATTAGAAAGTGAGACGAATAGAGGCATATGATTGTCCAAGTCCACCAGATGTATTAAAAGAATGCTTGGTTTAAGCAAACGTGGCACTAAGATGGCCAGGCTTACTACCCAGGACTGAATGTGTGACACATCCGACCTGGAAGTCACCTTATCTTAACAACGTAATCTCCGAAACGTGAGCAGGTTGGGTAAAGAGCAAAATACCCGACAGACTGGTTTATTTGTACAACGCAAAAAGTAGTGAGTCATCAACTTATCACTGTGTCTGAATAATGGAATCAATATGTGTTGAGTTGCTAATACGTGTTAACGTCACAGGGATCAACGTATTTTTCCCCAGTAGTTCACTCTCGTGTGTTTATTGTTGTCGCCGTCTGTACAAAACGTTACCAAGCAACAGGTGTTTCTCCATCGAGCAAGGTGTGAGGGCAAAAGTGTGTCACGATGTGGATTACACCAGTACAGTCCACCGCCATTAGCTAACAAAACCAAGCTGAGATAAACCCACACAATACAGACGGGCTGCCTACAGAGCAGAGCACACAGGCTGTAAACAGGCTGTACACTGGAGCTGTTTTGCACTCGCTATGACTGGAGGGACAGCTGTTTCTCACACACAAAAGATAGCAACTGACAATTTAGCAGCTTGACTAAAAAGTCACTTACTTTAAGTGTAACTTTTTGCTCTTATATTAGGATTGGAAGAGCCATAAAGTTTGAAAATGTGAAAGTGTACGGAGGTAAATGATGCAAGGAGATCATCAGAAACCATTATTATAGGTGCTCTGTTTGTACACAGTGGTGATGGGTAGGCAGCAGAACACCTACAGTAAATGTGTGCATGTCCTTAATGCACTGTAGTTCATGTCACAGTGTCAGTGATTGCTGTTTGAATACCACTTACCCATTCAAATCAGTTTTACCCTGCCTCTCGTGAAGGCGTAAATCATGCAGGAAAACATGCCATGTTCTGTCACGTCTTCATATAGGACAGCAATAGATAACATCAATCTGTCTGTGGGTGTGTTTAACAGGGAGAGTCTCGACCTTCTCAGTATGAATATAAACAGTTAGTATGTTGATTGCAACAGATAAAACATATCTTTTTTCATTCTTGATGGCGTAGTACAATGTAGATTAAAGAAAGTAAAATAAAGAAAGTCTGACAGTGAAATAAACTGTGAATAAATAGCCCTTACTTTGAGTTAATATTGTAAACAATATTTTGCTGGTAGCATGCAAATGGCCAACAGTTCCTACACTGTTTTTGACTTTCGCAAAAATAATCCTGGCATGGGAGGGAGCCATCTGACACATCATGCAAACATGTTTGGATTATGTAAAGTGGGCCTAATGCCATTTGAGCAGGCAAGGACCTTCAAAGGACAGCGTGTGTGTGTGTGTATGTGTTTGCTTCTGTGGGGGTGTCTATTTAAGCATCTGCAAACCCTTGCTGCTGAAAAAAGGCCAGGATTGGATAGGATTCAACTCCCTGTGGATATCTAAATGCTGCACGGTCAGGGTGTCACACAGGCTGTTACAGACGCAGTTACAGGGTCCTTGTCATATTTCTCTGAGGAGGCTAACAACATATTCAGCATCACTCAGTTTCACCTCAGATACAGTTAGAAGGATATAAAGAGAGAATACAGCAAACATCCTGGTGCTTCAGATCTTAAGCCATTCGCCATGTTTGACCAGAGAAGGAAACAAGTCAGAGGCCTGAGAGCTTGAATGAAAGAGCTGTTGACATTTGAACTCTTGGCAGAGGAGGAAGAGGAGGAGGAGGGAGACTAAAGGAATTGAAGGAAGAAGGTAGGAGGGTGAGGTGCACCGGTCCTCCAATGCCTCTCAAGAGTATCTGGTTTCTGGTTGGCTTCACGTCACTGCAGCTCAGGTTTCTGACGGGGCTGCTTCACTACATCCACGAACAAACTCAGAAACAAGATGCGGACACTAGTTATTCTTTATGAAACACCTATTGTTTATAGCAGGAAATTCAGCTTAGTTATCATTCCTATTTCTGTCTTGAAATCCACACTGTGGCACAGGTCTTACATCCTGGCTTGTTATGTGATGACAAACTCCGGTTATACAGTAATGCATTACAGGCCTGCTTGATTAGATGAGATGACCGTTTCTACATAATCCTCCACAATGACTAAGACTAAACTAAATCTGTCATGGGACCAGTGTGTGTCTCTGAGGCAGGGATTAATGTGTGTTGTGTATCCACAGGTCAGAGGTGAGCCTGACATCATCGCTAATGACATACAAACTGTTTTGTAATGCTAACAGTGTGCCTACGTCACCCCCACTGTTTAGAATTTACAGTTTTTATTATCAGATAAAGTCAAATTAATAGTATAATGTGTTTATTTTGAATTTAAGTTGATTCTTTTATTACTTAGGTGGTCTGTGATAATAATCAGCAGTTTGTTTGTTTCCCTATCTTCATTTCCTGTTCACTTCCTATTACAGGAAGCATTATCCAAGCTTTACTTGGCACCAAAGGACTTGATTTACTGAAATATGCTCCAAACAATGTCCTCTTGCAGTAGGAACCGACAACAACGTTTGAAAACATGGGAGTAGTTAATACAGATGTGCTTTCATTAAGCAATTTGGGGTATAATTCTAACAGTGGCATCCATTAAAAGGTGGCAATGTTTCATGACATCCCGATTTATTTTTCAGAGACTGAAAGCAAAAGTGCTTCACCTGCACACTGAGTATATGTAATTACGTGCAGATGACATACCAACGTGTTTCTGTCATGTCATTATGTTAACAACTAGCAGAACATATGTCAGACTGCAATTTGGGGACATTACAGACTATACTGAGTTACAGTAGACACAAATACAGTCACTCCTACAGATTACGCAAAATGTCTTGAGAGATTTGTTTGAGTGTGCAACATAAACCAACATATCAACCTTAGGAAACACCTGCATATCTAGGAAGGAAATCCATTTAAACTCAAACCTCTCCTGCAGCATAAATCACTAATTTATTCAGTTGTCCATGCGCTCCTATTCTGCAAACACTCTTGTCTTAGCAACAAAAACAATGACTGTTTCAAACATGCTGAACAGATGGAGGGGTAGAAAGCTGAGATGTGGATTCATATTCAGACTGTTAAGCACAATAAAACGGATCACCATTAGAATCCATTGAAGCTAAAATGAATTAAATCTGGCAAGCCACAGTTCTTTATTAGGATAACAAAAAAAAAAAACTGTTATCCTTTTGGTCTACAGGGGATGGATGTTTCATTTTTGGGGCAGAGGATCCCTTTAAGAGTGCCGGGAAACCGACACCAAAACAACACCAGGTGGCACTACCTATTGTGAGGCTGAATTTAATTAGCAGTTTAGCTGTGAATCATCAGGGGAGCTGAGAGACACACAATGGTTATATCAAAGTGTGCCACTGGTGACAAACAGTTAGGAAGCCGGACATCTTTGGACTACAAATGAGCTGTTGGGAACTGAAGCCTGGGGAGTTGGTTGGAAACAAACAGAGAACCAAACAAAGTCACAGTGTGTTTGTAAGCTTACCACAAGGACATTAAATCACAAGCATCATGCTGCGATAATCAAAGAATAACGGCTGCTGAGTTTAAGCCCCGCGCCTTGTTGCTTGTCGATGTCAATACTAATTAAAAAAGGTACAACAATAAATAATTTCATAAGGATTCAGCAGCAAATGACTTGGAAAGCTGCACCACAAACAACATTTTTGATATTTTCTAGATTGTATTTAATATTCAGCATGTATTGCTTGTGGTTAATCTCTATATGATTCCTTATAAGAATCAGTGAAAATCCTTTTGTTCAGGCTAAAGAGGAAGGTGAACAGGTGGTTTGGCCCGATGGCACAATGGCTGGGGATATTTATGTTACCGTGCTTTATCTTGCATTCATCACTGTTCACCTCATTGATTTGTCAGTGTTTTATTTCCATTGATTGAAGCACTGCTATAAAAACACTACAATAAAATGTTAACAGCACTTATTCAAAGGGTAGAGAAGGAAATGCTCCAGAACATAATAGTGTATAAATCCACCACTGTAAACAAAGGATAAATGCTTCTGATACCAACAAGTGAAAGCAGGATGTATCTCCACAGTCAGATTTTAGATGAAGCAGTAAAGAGCCAGAGGACGGGGCAACGTGGAAACTCACCTAGTTCTCTGGAGACAGGAGACACCGCAGCATTCTCCCCAATCTTAGACATTGCATCAAAATACAACTTCCCCGCCTGGATCATTGCTGGAAAATTGATAAAATTATCATTAATGTTTGTCTAAGATATCGGCTCCCTAAGTCATGTTGAAGACCATGAACAACAACCTAAATATTCAGTATACAGAGGTATATAAATGTGCCCTGGTGAACCTGAACTAAAAAAGGCCTCTTTTTTTAAAGCTACTTTGAATGTTTGTCATTTTTGCCTCTTTTTTTTAACTCTAAGCTTCTCTGAATGTTTGTTAATGCAGTAAAAATGCTCACCAGCCACTGATTTCTCATAGTTCTTGCCCAGGTTGACGAGGTTCCTCAGTCCCGGGTTGAACTGGTCCATCACACTCTGGGTGGGTGTAGACAGAGAGAAGCACAGTTAGTCATAATGTCATTCAAAGGATTTAATTCTTATGATTTTGAAACACTACTGACTCAACAGGTGGGGGACTGTCCACATGATGCGGTTACCACAGCAACCCATGCAGATAGGTTTGGTATTGCCTGGACACATAAATCCCATCTTTTCACTCAGAACGTGATTTATCTGTCTTAAAAATCAGATCTGAGAAAATAAATGGATTCATCTGCAGTCTGAACGTAGCCTATGTGACATGAGATGTGTGGGGGAATGAACCACACAGTTTAACACTGTTGACTAATCATTATGAGGAGCTATGACCTATGAACTTTAGGCAAAAATTCACATGCATACCATGTAAGCATTCAGGTCATATAAGACAAAAGTGGAAACAAGTTCGTCATGGCCAAATGCAAAGTGAAAAAGTATGTCTATCTGCCCTGTGAGTCACATCCGCTCCAAAATGTAATTGACGTTTTTTTAAACGCTTCCACCAGATTTCATGAAATTAGTGCCGGTAGATTTCCGTAATCCTGCTGACTAACGGACACACCTAACCAATAACCTAATCTCCTTGGGGGATGTAATGATGACACAGACACTGACAAATACAAAGAAAACAAAATAATGGGAAAGAATAAAAGTATGAGAATAATAGGAAATAAAACCTCTTGAAGACAAGAAAAATAAGATTTTTACTACATAACATTTTGTTTTTTTACATGAAGAATGAACCAGCCTTGATTAAGGACTATCTGTAATCATGTCTCTGTAATTATTTGAGCTATTCTTTCTCCTTGTCATATCAGAATAAGATCTTAGGTTTACTCCAAGGACCAGAATCCAGGAAATGATTAAACTTTGGTAATCCACTTTAAGACACACAAAGCAAACAAGGTCTCTTGACCCCAGCAGTTCTCACCATGTTCCGTTTCAGAGCTTTGTCAATAAGTGACACATAGACAGCGAACATTGTCATCTAAGAAAATACATTTCACTTCCCCTCATTTCAGAATACATGAAGCATGTACACAATAATCTTGGGGCAACAAGGAAAACACAAAATGTGCTGCACCACTCATGTCAACACACAGCTAGTTTTGATGATAGCAGGCAGCCAGAGGTGAAGGCTGCCGAGGAGCTGGCTGTATAATCTTACCACATGACACACACAGCCAGCTAAATTATTAAACCTGGAGTCTTTTTCCTGCATTTCATCACACCAAGGAGCTGTGGGGGCTGTCCTGAGAGAGACCAGCAGATAAAAGCCTTTCAAGAAGGCTTGTGAGAAAAATAATATAGTCCCTTTATTCCCCTTCTCCAGCCTCTTTAAATCACCTTCACGTTGTCACCTGTGGAGCAGACCTGGCTACACAGTGTGAGATGTTTGATTCATGTAGGCTCACATTCATGTATACATGGTCTTTTTCCCATTCTACTTTAACCCCAATGATTGCTTGGAAATAGACTACTCCATATTAAGTATCAGACCATGTATCATAGTTATGAAGTACATTTTCCCAACTAACCAACAGTGCCAAACAAGTAACACCACTTCACTTTCAAAGCACCCACTTGTCTTTACAAAATAAACTCATGTTAAGTAGCCTACTGGATGGCACAGATGCCAGAGCACACATACAGTAAGAGCCCTCGAAGTGATGCTGACCAACCCAGGCAGCATTTTAATGAGGAAATGACACTCCCAGGGTGCGGCTAATTTCCTTAAAACTCACTAATATTCAATAAAAGCCTCTAAACTACAAGTAAAATATGTTGATAAGCTGCATAAACTGTTTTAACCCTGGAGTTTATCCGTACCGATGTAAATAAGGAAGGATTATACTAATTACTCAGACCAGGGGTCCTTAAAGAGCATAATACCCTTCATGTTAAGAAAATAACTTGTTTTAAGTGTTGAGACAGATACTATATGATAATAAAGTATAAATAAGCCTTTATTCGTATCTATTTGTGGCCAAAAACAAGGTTTACTTATTGCATGTATACCCCTTCACCCCATCTTTGCATGTTCCATTAGTGAATAGTTCAATAAACAACAAGTTAGGCTAATTCAAGACACCTGTTACGTTGAGCTGGTAAACGTCACCGGAAAGTTAACTGAAGCTGAGAGTTTACACATGGGATGTATGGAGGTATTTCTCTGTGTCGTGGTCGCACCTGTTGTGTTCTCAACAGTACCCACCTTGTATGTAGTTTCAGTTAGCTTGTTCACCTCCTCCACGTTTCTCGACATGTTTAAGTCCTCTCGCAACGCCCAATAAAGAAGAAAAGAAATTAAAAACTACACCGACGCCAACCCCCCAAAAAATGTCCAACTGGGAAAAGTGACCAAAACTACGGACACATGAAATTCCTCATAGCCAGCAGGCGACGGAAAATGCAAACACAGCAACAAAATGTATATAAACTGAGGAGAAGCAGAGAGAAAAGTCCAGTGGAGGAAGCTGACTGCTGCTGTGGTGAGCACAGGGAAAAGCTGAGCTGTCAAACTTGTTGTAGGAGGTTAGTTCAGAGAGGGAGGAGGACTGTGGAGGTGGGAAAAGGTGGACAAGCAGACCGGAATACAAGATTCAACCACTTTTCCGGTTGGCTGTACTTTCAAATTAAACCTTTTGTTGATTCTTGTTTCATGGACCCATAGACTGTATTGCAACCTTTTCTTTTTTAAACAATAAATGTGTTGGTTTTCAGTCTATAAATCACAAGTTTTGTGACATTGTGCAAGCAAGTAACGTGCACCATTTTAAATGTTAATGCTACCCTATAAGTAAAATCCCTGAATTCGGAATGTAGTTAAGAGAAACATAATTATCACCAAAATGACCTCAAAATATTCCCCAGCATCATACAGACTTTATAAAGTCTGTTTGTAAAATGTTGATCTTTACAGTAACTAGTAACCAAATAGTCAAGTAAATGTTTGCTAGCAAAGTAAAAGGTAGCCTACTATTTCCCTCTGAAATTCATGGATTTTAAGTATTTAAAGTGACATAAAAGAAAGTAGCCTACTACCCTAAAAATGCAAAATGCATAGTGTAAAAGTACTTCATACTATGGTCTACAAGTTAACACTTAATAATTCTCCAATTATTTTGTTTGTGTTACTTCTTGTTAGTTTTAGGCTTTTATTTTGAAAGCCCTGTTGTCGTATTGTTCTGTGTGATTTCATGTGGTTTGACACTTCCTGTAGGCAGGTAGATGAAGTGGACAATGGACTAAATACTAGAGACGGGCGCTCCCTGGAGGCTAATAATCTATAATACAATAAAAACACACATCACATCATCTGTTTTACGGTACTCCCACTCATCTGCATTTGGCACTAAGGCAAAGTTAGAATTAAGTTTAAACGTTTTGTATTAACTTACTGTATGAACACATTTTCTTCGTGTTTCTGAAGAGATGTCTTTTAATCAGTGCATTTGTGTTTAAATGAGATTTTCAGTTCAACAGACAACATCTATATGTAACTATATTACTGAGATATATCGCACACATATACCGTGAATTGGACCACTTATTGACAGAGCTTTGGATAGAGCCATTTTTATTTAGTATAACACATATCTTTTTGTATCTGACATTAGAAGTAACAAGTGGGTGCTTCTCCTATAATGCTACTGAGAAAGTTTCATGTTTGACCACTAGATGTCCCTCATGGTCAGCTGATTTTTTTCTCAAGCTCTGAGTTGAGTTTCAATACCTCTGAGACCTATACAAAAAACATTTATGAATGACATACACATACATACATGCATGAATAGAAGCTTTGATTTCTGTTTCAATGTTCAGTGTTTTCTATGTATGTATTTGTTTGCTTTTTTATATTTTGTGACAATCTGACTTGATCAATACCAATGCATTCCATCTCTTGGGTTTAACACTTTTTAGCAGTATTTGGACGTACAACAAATCAAACAAACCAAAGGCAAATATCACAAGTATCAAATGCCAGTGCAAATATGCAGAGCCTTTGCTTTGTAAATGCCATTTGATGTTAAAACTGTGGAAAGCTCCCTGCAGCCATGGGGATCCACAAAAGGAGCTGAATGTAAAATGAGATTGTGCCCTCAGGCTCTGAACACCGCTTTCAGCCCTCAAAACGCTGTAAGGTGTCACATACAACGTAATTAGTCGCCTACGCCATGTGAGTGAGACTCTATTTTCCTCCCTCTCTTGCTGTTATCTCTTGCATCACGGCCGTCCTGACAACCTCCCACTGAGTTATGTTCCCCTAGGCAGTAATCAATAAGGAATATAATGCTAAATAAAGCAAGGCGAGGGTCAATTATAACAAGTCACTCAGATTTCTGAAGGGCTAAAAAGTAACTTTCAAAAACTGTAATGTGCTCAAGGACAGATGTGAGGCTATAATATATTTATTTACATAAGTCTCACTCTATGTCAAAGAAAACTATTGGATTGTTTCTACTTTAAGTAGGATAAACCACTTGGCACTACAGCAGGTGAACATGTTATCATCCACATTAGATACACTCGGCCTCAACAAGTTGGCAGAAAATATTTTTTACATGAAATATCATATATTTGCTATGAAGAGTGTGCTGTTATGAAATAGACTTAAATAACATCCCGGACTCCACTCATTGCCTTGTTTTACATTATCAGTCAGCCAATCCAACTGCCTGTCAAACTGTCAACTACTATGAAGAAATGGATGTAATAAGCACCAGATAAACGCCAAGAAGAGAAAAAATAAGAAACACGTTGAAGCACAAAATAAAAGCATTGCATATATACATTTTGCTCTGCTTTAAATAAAAGAAATGTAACATAACATGTGCAGAAGTTCAGAATCTGCAGTTCTCTCTGCCAGTCGTGTTCAGGCTCTTTGGGACCTCTTGTTCATTGTCTCTGTTGTGCATGTTCTCTCAAGGACAGCCTCCCATCCAGTGTGACAGAATAGCTAAGTGCAGCAAGGCATTCAAAAGACAGCCTGCTTGAGCTGTGCCAACAAGGCCACCTCCTTTTCAGGCATGACATATTTTTCCAAGCAGTGCTAAACAGAAACTGTGCGGTAGACAATGGAGGCCGCTTAAGAATTTGCTTCTTGCCCCCTGAAGATGATTTTGCCGTTTACTACCCAGTAAGTGTGATCAGTAGTCGTTGCTTTTTTTCATCGAATAGGCTGGACATTTGTTTATTATATCCTCTGAATTCTCTTTTGCATTGACGTCATTCATGCTGTTTCAGAAATACTGCAAGGATGGAATAAAACCATGGAAGAGAAAGATACAAAACTCCTCATTAGTCTCATCCATTTTGACCATAACCAGTTTGTAAAAAGACTATTAAATCCTGACGGAGCTGCAAACACTGGAGCTCATTAATTTCACCAAGCAAGATCATAAATGTAGCCTTAATCTTTTGGGCAAACTGAAAGCATAAGGCCAAACAAGAAATTATCATAAAAAACATTGTAGTTTTTTTAACAGCTTGACCAGAAAGCTAAAAAGGAGTAAGACGGTTAGTGGAGGCTGCATGGTGCATTTAGCAGAAAAACTACATATATCCGAGAGCTTAAGTGACACACCATGCCACAAAATACCCATCACACGGGCTGTCTTCTTTGGCGTCACAGTACTCAGGATACAAATCATCAGAAAACACAAGCCTCTATGCTTTGACAGGCTCATCGTGATTGTTACAGAAACTAGGATTTGAGCAGCTTTTCGGGTTTTACTGCACCAAATTATTCCCGGAAAATGTTTCCAAGTCGAAGCAGACAAATCTAAAGTCTAAAATAAAACTTGAATAGATGTTGTGCTGGTGCCTGGAGGAAGCTGGAAGTACTTGAGTTATAGTTAGTTTGTATGTGAAAATAGATTTTTAAATGAATAGATTTAAGAGGGTCGAAGCTATTTCACTGTGATTTAAAACTTTATATTTAAAGGGGCTGCAGACAGACACAAGATCATTTTGCATTCCTCAGTTGTAGAAGCATATTTCATCACTCACTGTTATTCTAAAGTTAAAAGTACAAACCTTCTGAATGTTTTATTCTTAAGAGTAGGAACTGCTGATCTCCTATCTGTTAAGGTGTTGTTTGACATTATATTGAGGAAAGGGGCTGACTCGATGTAAAGCAAGCCTACAAAGAGCAAATAAGAAACAGTTGCAAATCACCAGTCACACTATGGCATTTTATTTTCCAGCCATGCCCATAAAGGTACTCCTTCAAAGGTGAGCCAGACATTTAATGACATTTAATGACTCATTATTCTCAGCTCTGTGTTCACTTTGTAAATGGGTAACATAAATCAGGAACGTGGAAGTAGTAAGTGGATGGTAGTTTTACTGCACTTCTGAAATTACTTTATCTCAAGACACATACCGGTAATCATCCAAACATAGCCTCGTACACACACACACACGCACGCACGCACGCACGCATACACACACACACACACACACATACACACACACACACACACACACACACACACACACACACACACACACACACACACACACACACACAAGAGTCAACACGCACGGGTACACAGCAGCAAGTGTTTGCTCCTGATGAGATTGTGGTCAGCAGTGTGTGAAAATTTAATAACACAGTTGATGTGAGGCGCTACATTTGACTGGATCAGCCTTGCCGGGTAAATCTGAAGTCCCCTGCCATATATGTGTCCTCCATGCTTCACTGGAATGGCAAAACAAACATGAAACCCAGCAGCCATGAGCCATGAGCAGCTGTATTAAGTGTAGACTTGTTATCCATTAGAGCACTGGTTTTGTGTGGTTTGTAAGAGACCTCTGAACATTGTGACAGTTGTTGTTTTTAAGACTGTAATCCAAGCAGATCAACCTGTTTTGAGCTAGAAATCTAGATGCAGCGGGCTTCTATGTATATGACTGTAATCAGTAAATGTCACGGAGAAAATGCAATCATTAGGGATGAATAATACTGAACAGCACGACAGAAGAAAGGCCATGTAGCTATGATTGATGGAGTTCCTCACCTTTTGTTGACCTGCAGTTCAAGCAACCTTATATGGCTAATTAGTGTAATTTTTTTAAATGCCACAGATCATAAATGAACTCCCAGGAGAAACAAGTGGAGAATGAGCCTAAGTGTAATAATACCTGGAGCCTGATGCAGGGCCTGGATTCACATTTAAATGTGCACACAGTTGCTATTTTGAAAATCACCTCTATGCCCGATGGCAGCTGGCATTAATGTGAGTATTGATCCCATAATTGTGTTTATGCACAACTCCTTTGGGAATTCAGACATTTTTGATTACACCAAAGTCAGATATCAAAGCTGCATAAACTCGTAATGCGCCACTTAGACATCTCGCCCACGAAACTTGTCTGAATGAGACAAGAGCTGTCATTTTTTTCTACAAAGCTCTGCGCTATGGGACCTTGATTCTATGTGCTTGAAGGCTCTTTTCACACACTCACACACACCCTCACACACACACTAATTGCTGTCTCTGTCATCATG